TCAAAACCTTTGAGCGTCCAAAGCTCAAACACTAGACCCAAAGCAAGCAAAAAACAAAAAGCAGAGAAACAAGCTCGAGCCTAGCACAGCCGCCGCATAGGATCGAAGCCATGCCACCAAAGAAGCGGCCAGCTGCCCGGGTGAAGCTGGAGAAGCGGACCCCTGAAAAGAAAGCGAAAGTTGAGCCTAGAAAGGCTGAAGAACTAGAGCCTGGAGAGGCTGAGGAACTAGAGCCTGGAGAGGCTGAGGCTAGGGCAGAACAGCAGGGCTTGGATGGCAAAAAAAAATCAGAGCCTGCAATGGCCGAGCCAAGTGTTCAGCCAGTTCAGGCAGAGGAAGCCGCGTCTGCCAATAAGCTTGATAAGGCTAGTCCCAAAGCAAAGGCAAACCCCAAGAACAAAGCCCAGAAGCATCCACCTCCCCCTAAGAAAGCATGGAATGATGTCAATTACCAAATGAACAAGCTTGAGAAAGCTGGGAAGCCCGAGCTTCCTCAAGCTTGGAAAAAGGCTCAAGCTAACGGCCAACAAACCAGGAGGGAGTTTTATTACCAAGTCTTCCTGCTTAACCCCACTGTAGCTAAAAAGGAGAGCCACAAAGAGAGCCTGGAAAGGCTGAAGGTGCAGAACACCCTCACCAAGGGTTGGTTCACCAAGTGGGACATTGGCAAAATGGAAGGCGCTGATCCAAGTTTGCCAATGTTCGAGGATCTCTGCACGGCAGCCGTGGAAGGCTTAAAAGAAAGGAACCACGAGGTCCTTGCCTGGGCAAAGCTAGGCATCAAACAATACTATTATGAAAAAGAAGGGCCTACAAAGGAAAAGCAAAGCAATGAGAGCCTGACAAAGGCTAAACAAAGGGTTGACATGGAAAGCTTTCACATCTGCAGTGGACAAGCTCGTCTTGCTGAAGGACACTTTGGAGGCAAAGTAAAAAAACGAACCAAGCCAGCAAATGGCTGCTAGCTTGGAAGCCTTGAAGGGCTTGCGCGCGCTACACGAGGAGTCGAAGAAATACGTCAGCAAGGTGGCCGCCTACTCCTCCACCCTGCCTGCTGGATCGACAGAGGGGGCCACATTGATCAAGCAAATGCAAAGCCTGAAGGAAATGGTGGATGAGGAGCAGAAAGCCCTGTGTAAAGCCACCAATCCACACAGGCTGTGGGCAAAAAATGCAGGGTTTCTCTAGCCTGCTGAAGGCTTACGGACATCATTTTTGTATTTTGAAAAAGGCCTGGCAAAGGCAGCAGTGAAAAATGAAAGCGGAGCCTGACAAAGGCTGTATACAAAGATTATCTAGACCCAAGCAGCGGATAGAAAACAAGAGCGCCATGGCCTGCCTGCCTGCCCACCTGGCCTGCCCGCCCTGCGCGGTTAGTTCTAGGGGTCTTCTTGTTGTGGGTTGGCGCACAAGGCGCCTCCAAGCCATGGAGGGAGCATGGAGAGAAAAGGCAGTGGCACCAGAGCCTCAGAGCAAGAGACAAAGAAAAGCTGAGGAGGAATTTGGAGAAGCTTTGAGGGAGCTGTTCGAAAAAAAACAAAGTCTCAGCGCAAGAGAGCTTGAAAATTTTGGAAAGGCTAGAAAGTGCGGCTTGAGATTTCCAAATTCCTGTGAAGGATAACAAAAAAAGCCTGCAAGAGGATGAAGGTGAGCCTGAAGAACCATAAAAAGATTTTTAAGGGAAAACAATCGGTGGGGTGATTTTTATTGGGCAAAAATACCCATGTGGACTCCGAAGACCAAAACCATCAAGCCAGTGTGGCTGCCCTTCCATTTGCTCCATGAATGGCTTTCGAGTTGTTTGCATCAAGCAGGGGCAAAGGAAGAGGCTATGCCTGAAAAGGGCACGTACAAGAGCCAGAAATTGGCTGAAATGTGCGATGCGTGGGGTGAGCCAGCAAATGGCATGGTGCCAGTGGGCCTCCAGGGCGATGGTGTCCCAGTGCAGGGGAGGATAAACCAATCCACAGTAGACTTCTGGACTTTGAACCTTCCCTGCTCGGCCACATTCCAAGCACAAAGGGTGCCCATTTGTTGCAGGGGAGGAAACTTGCAACGCAATCTGCAAAGTCATTGCTTGGAGCTTGCAAAAGTTCCCACTTGCAGGCATGATGGCCAGCCTTTTCATCTCAGGAGCGACAGCTGCAAATGTCTGGCCATGCCTGAGGTCTGACTGGGACTGGAACTGCAAATGGTATGGGGCCCCAACCCACAACCTGCAGGATGCTGCTGGCTATGTTCTGCAAAGCCTTGCGAATGGAAGGCTTTAAATGCAGAGCAGAGGCTCAGAATGAGCCTGACGAAGGCTGATTTTTTTGCTGGCCTGGAAGCCAGAAACAAAACTCCCAACTCCCTGTTTCATTTGCCAGGGGTAAGCAACTGGACCGTCCTGCCTGACTGGATGCATGTGGCCGACGAGGGCGTGGGAGCCTTGGCTGCAGGCCAAATCTTGTTTGAGCTGCTGCCACATTACCCAGCATCCAACCAAGAAGATCGAGCCGCGCTGCTGTGGCAACACATCAAGGCAATTTACGGGGCTGGCAATTGGCCCGGCGACAAACAATTGCCGAAGCTCTCGTTGAGAGATATAAAAAAGCCTGGCAAGGCTCCTGAGCTTGCTTCATCCCTGTGCTGGAAGTTTTGACACGTGAAAAAGGATTTAATCACGGCAGCAACAGGCAGAAGGCCATTTATAATGTGGCCAAGTACTGTGGCAAAATGTACCAAGCTCTGGAAGATGGCAATGAGAGAGCCATAGCCAGCAATGGCTACAAATTCACAAGCCAGTACCTGGCACTCAAGATGCGGATGACACACACGCTTGGAGGGCCAGACCCAAGTTCCATCTGCTGCAACATATTTTGGATGAAGCCTGCAAAGGCTTACACCGCAAGGACGTCTGGAACTACAGGGATGAAACCTTTGCATTCACCATACAGCAATTTTGGTTCAACAGAGGTGGCTATCCTTCACCTAAGAATGATTCTGAAAAACTCTTGCTCAGGTGGGCCAACTCCTTCAAACCATGGAGCTTGCAGAAAGCTTCCCCATCTAGTTTCCAGAAAACACGCGAAGCCTGCAACAGGCAGCTGCTGTTCATGCTTGGCCATCCAAGTCTCTGGAGGGCTTCCGGGACTTCGGGAACGAAACCAAATTCAAGCGCCTGGAAAGGCTGAAGCTGACAGAGATTGAGCATAGCTGGCGCGCAAGCCAAAGAGCTTGTAATAATAATGTCGCCGGATTCGCAAAAAAAGAGCTTGCTGCAAGATGCTACCTCCCAAAGTCGCCGCCCTCGAACTTCTAGCTTCCATCTCCAAAAAGCACACTTCTAGAAGCCAAAAAAAAGGACTTCTAGCAGCTTGAATTTTAAGCTGCTGATCTTCAAAAACGCACTTCTAGAAGACAAAAAAAGGCCTTCCAAATGTAAACTGCTAGAATAGTAAAATTTCGGCTGGCAGCCTTGATTTTGTACTTGCGAATTTCTGTCTTCAAGAAACTGTCTTCTAGGAAGCTTAGGGTTCGGGAAAATGTAACGCAGTCTTGCTTTTTTGCTTTGCGCGCCGGCCGAGTTGATGGTCTACTGCTTGTCTCAAACGCTCCTGAGTGGAACTTCGATGAAAGGGTCATGACACATCTCTGTTTTCTCAGGACTCCAGCAGGCCAAACGCGCCGAACGCACCCATGTCACCCGTGCGTGTTTAAATACAGGTGATGTTACGGTGATGTTTAATATTCGTCATGCATGGAAACAGAGATCCCGCGCGTCTCCACAGAAAACGGTGCCTTCTCAGATGTGGGGAGTGGTTTTAAACATGACCATTTGAGGTATTCAACGATGATTCTCCTTTGGCGGATGGTGTCTAAACGGGGCCGTGTGAGGAACGCTTTAAGACTCCAGGCCACCACAGTTTAATTCGGCGGTTTGGGATTCATCCAAGAAAAGCCCTTTCTAGCCCAAGAACCATCGGGATTGCCGTCAGGTTAGCGGCTATGAGGCACGGAAGCACAATCAATCTTGGGTTTGACTCCAAGACGGCACTCAGCCCTTAAGACGGCACTCAGCCCTTGCACTCGTGCTCAAATTCGCAACGTCGTTTCCGGCCAGCGGGGGGCGTGGTTCTCCAGCATGTTGAGCACATCCTCACTTGTGTCAGAAGCTTCAACAACACCATTGGAAATTATGACTGTCACACTCTGCCAAGCGGCTCCCGGTGACGCAAAGAGCAAATCCCCCACAGTCCATAGACCGGCTTTCACGAAAATGGCAACCGCCGAAAGTCCATAGGAGAACGGCTTGAACCCCGGGCCCCCCCATCGGCACTAAAAAAAACACACCCGACGAGCCGCGCGTAGCGCTCCGCCGCGGCGCCGAATACGGCAGTGGCGTCCTCGGCTGCACATCCAAGTACTGAGCACCAGCGGGGTTACTGACCACCGATCTTGGCCGAACAGGGAATGTTCCAAGGAAGCTGATCTACTTTTGATCCTTTGGGTTCTAAGCGAGGCCGGGACCAGGAAAACACACAAAGAAACATGTGGGCAACTGACAAAATTGCTGGTTGGACCCCCAAAAATGGTGAGTCCCATTTGTTTGGCTCCACCTCAACCACTTTGAAAAAGGTACCTCGCAGGAAATCCCCATGTTTGGGTTCCCTGAATGACGATCCAAAAAAGTCGCTTGGTTTTGTTTCCCTGAAAACCAAGCAATAAGGGCAAGCAAAAGACGCCCCCGATTTGGGCATCCAAAGTAAGGATCCAAAAAAGAGTATTGTCATACTCAGTTCTCCTCCCCCCCCCAGAAGACAAAACACACACACACACACGAAATCAGCGCCATGTCCCCCGAAAGTGCAAACTTCGGCCGGAAAAAAAATGAGCCACAATCAAAAACCCGGTATGAAAAAGGTCGTAATCCCAAAACCATGTAAGAATTGAGAAGGCGGAGATTCGTGGCTGACCTTCGACCCGAATCGGTACGACGTGGCTACTGGGCCCGGCACGTCCACGCTCTGGAAGGTGACCTCCACGGAGACCACGCCGAAGACAATCCGCACCGTGAGCTCCTCTCGCGCTTGCCGCGCTTGCCAGTTGTGTTTCCTTTTCTTCCGGTTTCTTTTCTTTTGTCTTTGCTCGTGTTCTTTTGTGTTCTTTTGTGTTTTGTTTTCCCGGGCGAGTTTTTTCCGGCGGCTTTTCGGTTCTTTTCAAGACGCGGGTTGCGGTTCGGAAAGGGACTGCGAGCAGAAATAGAGGCTACTGTGCAAGCCCTGGTCCTTTTCGACCTCTTTGTTCTTCCCATCTGCTCGCAACCCCTTAACTATGACGCAACAATTTGAATTTGAGGGGTTCTCAAAATACGTTTTTTTGCCTGGAAAAACCGACACGCCCAACAGCAGTGGACCCAAATGAGGGGTTCTCAACATACGTGTTTTTTGCCTGGAAAAACCGACACGCCCAAAAGCAGTGGACACAAAGCTTTCACTGCTTGGTGGCTTGATCGACCAATCTTAAGCAATAGCTGGTGTATGAACCCCTGTGAATCAATCAGCCCGCTTAGTCGTCAAACTCATCGCTTGCTGTACCGGAAACCCAGCCTCCCTTTGGGGTTCTACATGGCCATGGGTTGGTGTAAAATAGGGTGGTATACAATCAGCTGTTGAGGGCGTTTCCAGAGGAACATCCCACACATGTGACATCGCTTTTCCTCGGTAGCCAGCTGCCGTGGGCCTGAGCGAGAGACCTGCCCGACCATTGTGCTTGCCCACAAAACCTTAGCCTCTCAGCCTCTGCAAGCACGCATTGCTGGCGCGCTGGCGTTTGAACATCCACCCGGTTGGCAAGGTAGAGTGCAACCTGATCACGCTTCTTCTCTGTGGAATGCATGCCTGCCTCGCCGTTCGCGTTGATCTGTGTTGTGCTCCTCCATGATGGCTCTGGCCCTCGTGTTGAACACGAGTTCGCATGCTCAAACCAGCTTGAACGTGAAGAGTTCCATTTTGCAAGTCCAAGAAATTCGCTCAGCGCATCTCTGCCTAAAAAAAGAATGTATTCATACCCTTAAGAAAGCGGGTATCCCGAACTCCGGCACGACCCGCCTCAGAGGGAGCCAGCAAGCGCCGGCATGCGCCTTCTGTCAAGCTCGCGAATTTCTTCCAGGAGACCCATCGTCAAGTCACCCGGTTGAGAGCCCTGCTGCAGGTCCCCCCCCGCCGGACTCGAAGGGGGGGGGCCCACCCTGACCTTGGCAAGGGATGGCAGGCGGCTCCACGGTTGCGCGTCTCTGTGGGCAGGAAGAGTTCAGCACAGCGTTGCGGGCGTTCTTTGCCGCCTCCCATGCGTCGTCGCTTGTCTTATTGCACGGTCGTGTTCTGAAGAGACCTGGTGTAGTGGTATCGCACGCGCTCTGTATGCGGGAGGTATGAGGTTCAAGTCTCTCAGTGTTGGCGTGTCTTATTGCACGGTCGTGCTCTGATGGTGAGCCAGCTCTGCTTGGGCGCCGAACTGTGCTGATGAACGTGAACCGGTGCGTTTCGAGCAGTCTTTGCCGCTGCAAGCAAGGGAAGAAGAACAAGGGAGTACACCCGGCAAAGATCGCCCGCGGAGTCGGCAAAGATTCCGGAACAACCCGGAATTTTCGGGCCGTTTTGGGCAGTCTTTCCAAAGCTGACAAGAGGCGCAAAGACAGCCTCTCTCTCTCTCTCTCTCTCTCTCTCTCTCTCTCTCTCTGTCTCTCTCTCTCTCTCTCTCTCTCTCTCTCTCTCTCTCTCTCTCTCTCTCTCTCTCTCTCTCTCTCTCTTCCTTTCAACATTATAATCTTATCATAACCCCTCTTGCCAAGAGTGGTGTAGTGGTTGGTATCGCGCTTGCTTTGCCTCCCAAAGTGCTTTGATTCGATTCCTCCTGGGTGCTGGCCTCGGGGGCGCTTTTTGTGACCGTGAAATTGCTGCAGCTCTTGACTCCTGTGGTGGGGTCGGCAAAGATTGCCCGAAACACGCCGAAATTCAATCCCGGCCCGTTTCAGGCAGTCTTTGCCGCTGCGAGCGAGCCGGGTGAAATGCTGGAGTGTTTCGGGCAGCTGCAGCTGCGGGGTCGGCAAAAATTGTCCGAAACATTCTGGAAATTGGTCCCGGCGCATTGCGCGCTGTCTGTCCACAAGAGGCACGGAGGAAAGAAAGAAGCAAACGAATCAGCTATGGCGGCATTGGGAAGACTACTCGCGCGTTTTGCTTGCTTTTTTTCTGGCTGTGGGAGTGCTGCTGGCGTTGCGTGCGCTTGACAGGGTGCCACAGACCCTAACAAGCTGATTTCGTCAAGAACATCAACAAGTTGATTTTGTGAGGCTTGCCTGCTCAGGAACGAGCGAGAAAAACCAACCCCCATCGCAACGAGAAGCAATACCGGCAGTGAATCGCACCGTTTCGCGCCGAAACAGTTCCAATTCCAAGCAATATGAATCGAATCGAACCGAAAGAAAATGAATCGTATCGCATCGAGTGCGCTACA